CAGACAACACTTGCAATTTACTCAATTACAGAGGAATGCAGCAATGCGGTGGGGTGACAGATTCCTATTAGCACTAATGCTGAAAGAGCCCAGTGGCCTTTCCGCCACAAGGCAACATTCCCATTGTAACTTAGACTCTGGCACATCCCGCCTTGGCCAGCTTTTTAACATGCATTAAATGTCACAGAGGAATGGAGATTATTTTGCTGTTGCTTGATAATAAAGAATAAAAATATAAACAGAAAGAATAATCTTGTAAATTAGGCTAAGGGTGTACTTCTGGCAGTTTCAGGGGGCTTTTCAATCAGCAACTCCTTACTTGCAAGTGTTAACAGCCTAAGATGAGGTCACCAGGATAACTTCACCGACCAGGTCTGTCCTGCCTCAACAAGCTCTACAGCAGAAGGCAAATTTGAACTGCAGCATCTTCCCCAGAGGGAGGGAGCTGAAGGACCCTCATTTCCTCCACACCATGCAACATTCCTCATCAGTCAAAAACAGGGCTACAGCTTGCACAGCACAAATACTTTTCCAGAGGAGAAATATGCCTGGAGAGGAGCCCGAAGCAGCAGGACGAGGCTACCAGCTGGAAGTAAATGGTTGACAATTGCTACTTTTTCTTTTTCGTTTGCTCTACCTTCTTCAATCACTCTCTGTTTCTCAGGATTTTCTTGAGTACTGGCTTTAAACTCTTAAGATCAAACTGTGCCTATTTTAACTTTGAAATAGCACCCAGAGCATGTTTTAGGTGCTATCTGTCATTCTAGAAAATTATCTCAAATCTGTAAGAGCGAATTGAGGTGATATTTTGTGCCAAAACAGCAAGAGGGAAAATTCTTGAAAATGCTAAGGGGCTTGTTTGAATGGGGTAACAGACAGGGAGTTTTTTTCCCCCAGACTTCCATCTGGAAGCTTGCAGAAAGACAGCAGAGTCCAACGTGAGGTTTGCAGGAGGTACAGCACGGCAGCCTCGCTGCTGCCAGCTTTTCCCCACAAGGCACCTTCGCCCACAGATGAACCACAGCAGCAAAAGGCACTTCATTATTGCTGCACTGAAGAGAAGGGAGGGAGGGTTTTAAACAACCTGCATTGTGCCCATCTTCTTTAAAAACCAGCGGGGTAATCAAGTTCAGGGCAGCCCTGGACAGCTGCCCTGTGACCTATTCATGTTGACCCCCACTATTCATCACTTTCCTTAGGACTATGAGGGCAAGCTCCCAGGGAGTGACCACCACAATAGACAGATACGAGCCAACAATAATACGGTTCCTGCAAAAAAACCAGATGGCACTGCAATAAATTTACAAATCTACATTCATGGCTCTGTTAAAAACACCCAGGAGCTAAAAGGCTGGAGGGGCCCCCAGAGAGCTTCCCCTTCCCAGTTTCTAAAGGCCAGCTCTCTCCCCAAGACTATTGAGCTCGTGTTCCTCATAAATGAAGGATGGAGACATAGCCCTTAAAATAACAAATGTCTGACCTAATCAATCTAGTGTTTGCGTCTAACACTAAATGATAGGCACTGAAAACTAATTATGTTTTTTGGCAAGGAAGTTGAATTAAAATGGAAACATACAGGTTAAAAAGGCACTGAAGCATTTGTGAGTCCCTCTGAAAGGGCGGCACATGCACACACATAAGCTCACACACAGGGCTTGAAACAGGAACCTGATTCAATAACTCATGCATTTATTTTTAAAATGAATCAGATTAGTCCCATGTGTGACCTGCCGGTCCATCTGTATGAGCTGGACTTAATGGGCACTCTTCTCACGCTTACTTCAGTTTGAAGTATGAGAGAGATAAATTTAGTTTAATTTTCAACAGATCAAGCTATCCATTTTCCAAATGGACCATCTGGATCAGCCTATTAAAATTAATTTATAACTTTGCAGTGTGAAAATTCGTTTGTTAGCTTAAATAAAGTTGCCAAAAACTTTTGCCACTTGTCATTGTTTTTTCTGGTCTGTTTTCATACTATGATTTTCAGTTTACCCCTTCAAAATTAAATTTTGTCAGATCAAGCACTCAATAAGAACTGAACATTTGCATCCATATTCCAAAGTCTGCCATAGCTTAATCTTTTCACTGCTCCAGCTAACAGTGTCAAGTTCATTGCCTTTTTCTGTTTCCCAGCACTAATCTCCATGTCTCTTCTGTCTTGCATCCAACAGTGGCCATGCCTTCCAGTAATCCAAGGACACAGCTCCACTCATCCTTCTCCAAAGTAAGAGTTACATGGCACTGAGCAATGAGTGTCTTCAGTCCCTGCACACAACTTCAGATGCTGAAGCAACCATCACACCTCCTTATTACCTCCACCTTCTGGTATGTCTGTTTCACAAACCCACCTGAGAAAACATTTATGGCTAAGGCTGCATAACAGCACTGCAAACAAGGCAAGAAAAGGAAATACACCTTTACTTAAACTTGTTAGCAATTGAACATGTCAAGACATCATACTTCCCCTGAAGTAGGCTGATGCATCTCATTAATTTTCTATGACTAATCAGAAAGTACTAAATATGTGGATACTTCCACTGGAAAGATCATTTAAGTAAACAGACTTATCCTCTACCCACATACACTCAATTTCTCTGTGCATGTAACTCCGTGTTCCCCAATAATGAAATATTAAGGGAGTCTTAAGGGAGGAACTGAAAATATGAAACTGTACACTCAATATTTACCAAGTTACCATCTCTCCACTAAAGTAGAAAGCATTTTGTGTGTATTACTGCTTTGACAAAATTTACAGGTCAGATCCTTTTGGTTCTACAAAGTATGGCTAGATGTAAGACAGGGTAGCCACTCTGCATTACTTCCAGATTTTTCCAGTAGGTATCACTCATTAATTATGAGTATTTGGGCATATGGCTGCATGTGTGCCTGATTCCTGGAATGACAGCTGGAAAACTCCTCATTGCTTCTGTCCGTTGCTAATATAGAAGAGGAGCAATCTAAGCTTTCAAAATGCTCAGACAGCTTTATGTCTATGTGAAGAATCAAAATTCCTTCTACAACAGGCACAAAATCATGGACAATCACCATCTATGACCTAGACAAGAGGGCACATGCTTTAGACTAAGATTACTTCTTGAACTTGTCCAAAAAGACTGTTGTCAACACAAAAGGCCCCAGACAGCAATCAGAAGACACAAGGATTTTGTCCTGCATCTGTCACTGTAAGGACTCAACACAAAGATGGAGACTGATACAACACCTCAACAATACTGTGAAACACAGCTAACCATCGCCGATGTAAAGGATGTCCATGTGAATTATTTCCAATACGAAATACTGGGACACTACAAGTGGTTTTCCTCGTGTATTCCTGATATCTAGTCACCTTGGTTATGATGAATTGTGGGCCTGTGGGAAATGACAGCTTTCCCTGGCTGTAAGAATACTTTTATACACTGAACTACAATGGAAAGGAAACCTAACTCAAGAAACTGTGCCTCATCTGTGTAATACAGCTCATGAAAATCTGCCTCCTCAATCAATAATCACAAGGAAAGACTCTGTGTGATCAGAACACACACAAAACAAGTAACTTTTGTTCCTTTTAAATTAATATCTCGTGCTACGAGTCTTTTCTTGGAGAAGAGACATAACCTTTTCCTCCTGAACTTGAAGGTTTGCCATCAATAAGATAACCCTAACACCTAAAAACTCTGACTTTTTCTGGTTTGCTGGGGACCTTGCTTGCTATTTGGGGGATACTAGTAGAGATTCTAGCAGCTTTGCTCTCTTCCTCTTGCTGTCATTTGTTGTTGAATGCCAGAAATATTTAAAGTTTGATGTAACATATTTAATCAATTCTGCAGGGTAATCTTTCTCAGCTATACATGGGACCTCAGTCATTATACCACCATACCACTTCTTGTCTAAAAGGCTTACATAGACCACATCTGTTAGATGGACCCGTCTTAGCCACATGTAGTCCTTCACATGACACCTACTCCCACAAAATCAAACACTCCTAACACAATACATTATTAAAAACCAAAACAAGACCCACCCAAAACCAACATCTCTGATCACAAGCACTCTATATCAAAAAGATACTTCTTCCTTTCCTATGGTTCTGATCCATGATGTCTCTTGGAAATAGCAGACGTGGGGCAGTGTAGTACCACCCTATTCCTCTGCCTGAGATGCAGAAGGAAATGTCCCAGTTCCTCAGCTGCTGCAATGTGTGCCCTGGGGTATTCACTTTAGTCATGTTCACCAATGGTTTTACTCTGATACACCAGGCAGCAAACTTGGGCAGCTAAGGCACAGACATCATTTTGTTTCTGCTGCCTCAAGGTTGCAGGGGGGAGAAAGAGCAAGGTGAAAATGCATCAGAAATCACTAAATCCAACTTAAATTCCCCAGAAAGCACATGTTCAACTCCCTTTGTTGGCCACGGGGCTTTAAAGAAAGGCTTCTTTTCAATGAGTAAGAAATTAGCTTTACTATCTATAAAGGGGAACAGATAATGTTTCATTAGACCATCCTTTCTTCTTTTTACCCATTAGTAATTTATATGAATGTAAAAGAAACAAGAACAGGTCATTTTTCAGGTTATTAACCTGGATATCACCTGCAAGAAAATTTACCTTCAAGGGCAATAAAAAGCTTAATTGTCATAGAACATTTTGAGACTCTTGATCTGAGGTGAGGCAAAATATACTACAAACAAGAGAGAGACAATTACAGAAGAAAAGGCTGAAGAGGTCTTGATGAACACCAAATGGAGAAAGGTAAAATTAGAGAGTCACACCTGACTGAACTATACAGAAGTCTATATTTCTTTAGAAAAAATCATCAGGGTCCCCTGAAAGCTAAATCTCTGTGTCTGATTTTCCTGGGTACAATGTGACTTGTTCAGACTTCAAAGGAGAAAAGAAAGGATTTCCATGAGCACAAGCCAGATTTCAGCTTCAAGAAGCATTTAAGGATTCAAATAGCTAGAAAGTTTTATCGCATTTTTAAAGAGACTGATCACATACCTGTCTAAGTGAATTCTTCTCAGGAATGATCTTCCTAGGGGGCTCATCATTATTACAGTCTTCTCTCTCAGAGGAATTCTGTGAAAGAAAGTAAGCTTTAATTCAGTTCTTATCCCTAATATTACTCTGTGATGAGAACAAAATATTTTTACTACACAGGCTGCAGTATTTTACGCATATGGATACCGGAGGCTAACATACTTTTATGCCAAACAGCTTGTTATGGCAGAGAAGGAATTTCTCCTCCTCTACACAACAATGCACCACTGTACAGGTATCTGTTGAAGAAGCCTGTGCTTTAGGGATTGATTCTGAAACTACCAGTAACAGCCACTCTGAAAAGCTGCAGGAATGGTTGGATCAGAATGGCAACACCAGTGCTCCTGAACACCCCAAAGCAATGATTTAAAACAGTGGAACCTGTTGAAAACAAAAGGTTGTTAATGGGTGCAACTGTTCTTCTCTAGGCCCCTATGCTTTTAATCTGCCTAACAACTATTAATCGCACTGAGTCTGCTTGGCTGCTAAAAATCATAGAGAAATTACCATACAGCTAAATTCTTGTAAAAGAGGTTGTCAGGAGATCCTTCAAAAAAAGTTATGGTTTTCACTCCTGCCCCCTGACTCTACATACATGCACAATTCCTAGAACAGCTGATCTCCAAAACGTAAGCTGCCACCTCCAGAAAAAGAGCATCAGTAAGACAAGGGAGATAAGGCAGACAAGAAATCTACAAGGGCTTTTGTAAGAAAGACAACCAGGGGACTTACGTCCTGCTAATGTCACGATTAAAACCAATTATTACTTCATTTAGAATAAAGACAAGCTATAGTTATTCCAGGACATGCAGTCTGTTGCATATGTTTGGTTAAAAACTGCTGGATACAAGGGGAGAATCCTGACCTCACTGCCAAAGTCAGCTGCTCTGGAAGACACCGTTCCCTAGCACAGGTTCAGTCACTTCACTGACAGAGTAATGACAGCCAGCTTTGGGGGAATCCCACACACACATCTAAAATCAGTTTGATCACCACAGTATTCATAGCCTTAGGCCACATTCCCACGCATTCAGTACTGAGCAACTAAACAGGTTTTAAAGAGATACAGAAAAACTGCCTAGGGAGAGCTCTGCCAGGAAAAGGGTGGTTTTCCAGTTACTTGCAGACAAGCTCGGGAGTGCCTATTACGGCACAAGTTTGCATTCTGTACCTGTCCCCCAAATAACCTGTCCTTCACTGAGCGCGGCTCTGCCTGGCTTCTCACAGCGACAGCTTCCAGCCCAACACCTCAGGAGACAGAAGTGGCATCTGTTGGCAAAGGAGGAGCTGTGCCCTGCGAACAGCCAGCGTGGCAGCGCAGGGCCAGCAGCGAGCGCGCAGGCTGCGGGAAGCCATGGGCAGAGCAGAGCGCTCCGTGCCCACTGCAGTGCTGCGTGACCAGGCACCGCTCGCTGGTCTGGGGAACGGGACCAAAAGGCACAGCCAGGACACTGGGCAGGGGTAGAAACTGTTTGCTGAGATATGGCAGATAAGGGTGGGGGAGAGGAGCACAACAATAAAACCCCACTTGGGATGTCATAAACTGGTCAGGAGTAAATCAAGACTGGCAGACCAACTAGTAATTTTAGGATTTTTTTAAAAAACAAGATACAGAACTCACAAGGCAACATGACATCTAGGATGCTGTAAACAGGATTTTATAATGGAAATTAATCCTAAACAGGCCTGAAAAATCGCTGTCAGAGATCAGCTTTTAGAAGTTTTCATACAAGGTCTCTGTCAGGACTGTTATTACATTAAATCCTGCTTAGAAAGAACTGTGATCGTAAAAACATACAAGTTAGAGTCACTTTTATATGAAAAGGAAAGTCAGACATTAAACCTGCTCTTTTCTGCTCATGAAATTCAGTTTAGTAGGTGGTTAAGTCAAGTTGGTATTTTAATTCTTGGGCTTCGGGAAAAATAGACCAAGAGCGAAAAACATGAGAACCTGAGGTGAGTTACTATACATTTCTGGGAAAAGCGTTTTGTTAGAGGATGAGGAGGCAAAGGGTGTATTTACTACTTCTGGATGCATTTTCAACACCCACCCCCTTCCCTACAATAAGTGTTGAAACCATTTCCCCATCCAAATAACCTTTCTATGACAGTGAAATCTTGCATTCTTCTCGCCTTTCAAAGCCACTAAGGATCCTCCCTCAAAAGCCATCAAAAAGCAGGAACTGCTGATGAACTGTCAGCCCTTATTTTGAAATTTCTAGTTTACTGCAAAGCATGAAGTTATCTACTTTTTCCTTAAGCTGAGCATCTAATTTTAAGAGCAAGCAGAGGACCATTTTGCATTCATTATCTTTATAGGTGGCAAGGCTAAGAGGTTGGCTGAACAAAGACCAGACAAAGACTGCCAAGTGCATATGGTGGTTCACAGCTTGGCGTCTCACCATTCTACAGCACCAACACAGCAGCTCCGATAGCAGACTATTAAAGAGGAGCGCTGCTCATGCACTTTTGTCGGCAAGTAAGTTACGCTTGGTGAAGACAGAATGACTGGAAAGCATTACACTTAAGGAAAAGCACAGATGTTTATAACTCCCGCTCATTTCTCAGGAATAGGAAACCTATCAATCCAGGTGCAGGTACAGGACCCCACATATTTCAGGACTAACTGTAGCTACATGGAAGTGAATTTCACTTGACAGGGCAACACTTAGCCATTGCCATGGGAAGAGCACAACGTAATCGACTGAAACGGTACATCTATATATTTCTCCTCGCTGAACAAGGTGGGAGGAGGGATAAACATGTGCGAGGGCAGAATAAGGTTTGCTTCAGC